GGAATCGGGGGTAGAAGAAGGAGAGGAGTCAGGGGTAGAAGGAGGAGAGGAATCGGGGGTAGAAGATGGAGAGGAGTCAGGGGTAGAAGGAGGAGAGGAATCGGGGGTAGAAGGAGGAGAGGAATCGGGGGAAGAAGGAGGAGAGGAGTCAGGGGTAGAAGGAGGAGAGGAATCGGGGTAGAAGGAGGAGAGGAATCGGGGGTAGAAGAAGGAGAGGAGTCAGGGGTAGAAGGAGGAGAGGAATCGGGGTAGAAGAAGGAGAGGAGTCAGGGGTAGAAGGAGGAGAGGAATCGGGGGTAGAAGGAGGAGAGGAATCAGGGGTAGAAGGAGGAGAGGAGTCAGGGGTAGAAGGAGGAGAGGAATCGGGGGTAGAAGGAGGGGAGGAGTCAGGGGTAGAAGGAGGAGAGGAATCGGGGGTAGAAGGAGGAGAGGAGTCAGGGCTATAAGGAGGAGAGGAATCGGGGGTAGAAGGAGGAGAGGAGTCGGGGGTAGAAGGAGGAGAGGAATTGGGGTAGAGGGAGGAGAGGAATCGGGGTAGAAGGAGGAGAGGAGTCAGGGGTAGAAGGAGGAGAGGAATCGGATTGAAGGAGGAGAGGAGTCAGGGGTACAAGTAGGAGGGGAATTGGGGGGAAGGAGGAGAGGAGTCAGGGCTATAAGGAGGAGAGGAATCAGGGATAGAAGGAGGAGAGGAATCAGGGATAGAAGGAGGAGAGGATTTAGAAGAAGGAGAGCCAAAGAAGTCAGAAGAAGCAGAAGAAGGAGAGGAGGGAGCAGGAGAAGAAGAAGCAAAAGAGAAATCAAGAAAAGTAGCAGAGGAGTTGAAAGAAGAGGAAGAGAAAGGAGATGAAGAAGAAGGGGATAGATCAGCAGAAGCAATGGAAGAGTAAGAGTAAGAAGAAGAAGAAGACGAAGGAGAGTAAGAAGAAGAAGAAGGAGGAGAGGGAGAAGAGGAAGAAGGAGAAGAGGCAATAGTGAAAGCAGACGAAGAGGCAGAAGAAGCAACAGTGAAAGCAGAGGAAGAAGGAGAAGACAAAGCAGGAGAAGGAGGGGAAGCAAGAGGAGGTGCAGAGGAAGGGGGGGGGAGTGGGAGAAGCAAAAGGAGGTGCAAAGGAAGGGGGAGAAGCAAGAGGAAGAGCAGCAGCACAAGAGAGACGGAAAAGAGTAAGAGAATCTCTCCCTTCATCGCCCAATCTTATTCTCTTTGGTTAGGGCCCCAACTCCTGGTCACCGTCCTCCCACGGCCTGAACCTTCGTGAGGTAGAGGCATCAGGAGAATTGGCACAGGAGACACCAAGAGAAGCAAGAGAGGACGATGAGCAGAAGGAAGAGGGGCACCACCTGTGGAAAGAATAGTATAATACTGTCAGAATCTGTGCATCCATAAGAGAATGAAATATGAGGCTTGCAGGATTATGAATGGTATTCTGCTGTTGGAGTATAATGACCACATATGAGCGATAATAACTGTAGTTAGGATAACAGAGTTATTACACTTAGAATAAAAGCAGACAGCTAACAGCAGCTCTGCTACAGGGAATAGAAATATTAGGAGAGCCTCACTGAGTTTAGACTTTTGACTCTGACTGCAAATCAGCAGCACCGTATGTGAACCATGGAGGCCAGGATCTTCAGTTTCGGATCTTTGTTCAGAAGGTCGGTCTTCTGTTTCAACCCAGATCCACGTGCCCATAATTCTGACCAGAACTAACTAGTGATGCACGATATGAAAAATTTCAACCGATACCGATAACCGATAATTTTCTTCTTCTCATGGCCGATACCGATACTGATAACCGATAAATTCATATTTTTACATTTATTATAATCGTCGTATAATCTGCAGTTTGTGCAGGACGCAGCGATTGAAAACTGATATTTTTGTTGCTCTGGCCTATCTAGAACAACAAACAAAAGTTTTTGGCTCTTCAAATGTGGTCATTTGCTATAAATAACAATAACAGAGCAAAAAGCAGAACTTCATTTGATCCCCTGAACTGTTCAACAGAACTGTAAACTGTAAAGGAGCCATTATGAGCCGTCAGGCTTATCATGCTGACCGGACTGACGTCCGGTCTGACGTCCATATGTCTGTGGTAAAACTCACGTGTAGTCCGTTCTTGTCGATCAGGTTGTGAATGTATGTGGCGACAATATCATAGAGTGCAGGAAGAGACACATCCGAAAAGAAGCGGCGGCTTGGGAGAGTGTAACGTGGCTCCAAGTGTGCTATTAACTTACGTAAACCCGGGTTCTCAACGACGGAAAAAGGCTGGTCGTCGACCGCTATGAACTCCATCACTTTGTCGTTAATGGCTTTAGCCTTTTCGCTGTCTCTTGAGAAGCTTTTGCAGTTCTTAAACGCCTGCTGAATGGGGACATCGATCCTCCGTAGTGTTGTTGTCTTAGCTTTAGTACCGCTAGCAGCTTCGGCGGCTGTCTCATATTCTTTTACTACCGCTTCACCGCGATGGCGACTTTTCAGATGAGCTATCAGATTCGTTGTGTTAAAACTTGACGTCTTCTTTCCTCCTCTCGGAATCCTCGCTGAACAGGTTTTGCATATAGCAATGCTGTTGTCATCTTCTGCCACTGAGAGAAACGACCATGCTGGTGAAGACATTTTTTTATTTGTCAGGTAGTAACGGGGTCAGGCTTGGGACCTGCGAGTAAGGCGCGATAGATGACGTAACCAGCGCGTCTCGGACGGGCGGCTACTCCGCCTGCAAACGTTACTCGTAATTTCATTAATATATCGGATCTTTCTATCGGAAAAATGCACCTATCGGACCGATAAAAAATGACGTAATTTCCCCCCAAATCGGCCGATATTTTATCGGTCCGATAAATATCGTGCATCCCTAGAACTAACCCATGCAAGATTCACCTAAACGGCCCATGCTAATCATCATACCTGCATTTTGCACCTATAACACATCTCTTTCACAGCCTGTTTTTCAGTGCATCTAATTGATAAGATGAGGAGTTGAAGAGATGCACACAGTGGCTGCTACACAAATCCAAATCTTATCTCCAAACTCTACATCAGTGGTTCTCAAGTCCAGTCCTCGAGGCCCACTGTCCTGCATGTTTTGGATGTTTCCCTGCTCCAACACACCTGATTCAAATGATCAGCTCGTTATTAAGCCATTACAGAGCTTGATAACGAGCTGATCATTTGAATCAGGTGTGTTGGAGCAGGGAAACATCCAAAACATGCAGGACAGTGGGCCTCGAGGACTGGACTTGAGAACCACTGTTCTACATCAAAGCACAGTATGAACCAAGGAATTCCACCTTCCATTATTTTAACAATATAATTCCTTAATCTATGAATTAAGTTTAACAGCCATGGCAAAATACATCCTTCTAACGAAGAAACACACAACTAAATACCATATCAATACTTACTCTCAAAATCCTCAATGTTTGGACACCTGTGGTTCTGTCATATCATCTTTTAGTAAATATCCCACCTCTAACACAACTTATCTTAGTACCCAAGTTTACAAAAAGTTGAAATACCATTTCAAATGTTGTTAAAACAGGATTCGACGGTTGAAGTGCAAAGACAAATTAAGCAACCTTGATTTTTGCTAATTAGCTACACATAGAAGTCACATTAAGTTTCAACTTAATTCCAGTGCATGGAAAACAAGGAGAAGCAACTGTCGTGTTTTGATGTTTCGGACACTTTTCAGTATCAATTAGAGGTGATTTTTTTGTTGACAAGGGGGAAACTGTCATTAAAGCACAGACATTACTTACCTGCAGTTCGTAAAACCTCCCTTAAATGTTGGGGTTTGCCAAAAAGTTCCCCGTGTCACTGAGCTCCGCGTGTAAAAACACACGCCAAAATGGGAATTTTTCCAAATCTTGCGTATTGATTACAATTACACCAGTTCACATTACAGGTTCACGAGGTGGCTTAATAAAGATATCTGCTTCTTGGAAACCAGAGCTTTTTCTTCCTTAAACTTAATATCTATTAGTTTTAAAACAGGCGTGGAGGAGACGCATGCGCACAGTGGCTGCATTACAATTCAGTCTCAACACTTAAATACATATCTATTAGTTATTTAAACAGACTTCATACCATTAAATAACTTAAACATTACAGCTATGGCATTAATGAGTTTTGCAAGGCACGTAAACGCATCCCAGCTACTTGAGGCTCGCTCAGAGGCGCCATCTTTAAAAATGTAATATCGACGGTTAACTATGAAAGTTGAAGTCTTTACACCATACATACATGAGCAAATCAAAGGTTTTTCACCTCAGCACACCTCACTCAATAAGTTTTAACGTTTTCGCCGTGCAAATGTAAACATTTCTGACATTAAAACATGGTTCTATAGGTCAAGATATCATCAAGTGAAATCCACAACTCTGTTCCCACGACTTTTATTTAACTGTCAATCTACACACTTAAATCCTGCTTAGTAGATAATAAATTTGCCTTAAAATCATTTAACGGGTAAAATTGTCACAAATAAGAGAATTTAATATAAAATTTCAAAGCTGCCTTACCTCTGACCGGGGTCAGGGGGCACTCCGCAGGCCGGGGTCCGTCAGACGCCATCTATCGTCTAGGTGTTCTCGAGTGTCCTCGGGTGTCGTTTTCCTTTTCGGAAAGTCCGGGTGTTTAAAATCCAAGCTAGGTTTACGCTTTATACAAAAATATCTCTCTCTCGGTAAAAGTTGTGCAAGCCAGCCAAAGGTCCAGTTTGTTTTGACTCAAAAATATCAAACATTCTGAATATCTACGTGACCACGCGCGCGTCACCGCTCTGCTACCATGGCTGCTAGTGACGCACAAGCTTGAGAGATAGCAGGTAGCCCATTTTGTAAAAGTGTGATCAAATGTTGAATTCATGGCAAACTAATAATTGTTATCAATCCGCATATCATTCGTTCAATTGATATTCAATCAAGAATAAAAAAAAAAAATCACGGGCTGATTTTGTTATTATTATTTAATTTGTACGCTCGGCGTGATCCTGAAGTTGTAGACGGAGTTCAGTCATTGATGAAGCGGCTTCATGCTAGCTTTACACGCAAGGATGGACAGCTACGTTTTATTCAAAGGAGCCAAACGAGTGAGCCTTATGGACGACGACATGACAACCGAAAAAATCAGCAGGATCTTTCAGGTATGCTCATTATTTCTAAAATAAGCCATATGTTCCTCTTCAAGTTCCACGTGCTCGTGTTATTGTATAGGCTAATTAGCCTCACTAGCTAACTGTGTGGTAAAGCCCTGTTCTCTCTACACGTTTATAAAGGTTCATAGCCCGAGCCTGTACATTACTGATGACAGCAACGTGGCCGTGTTTCCTACAATCAGCGTCGCCGTCCACTTCAGCATTTTGGATCTAGTCGTGAGGGGGCATTATGAAGTGCATGGGGACAGCATCTGCGCGGAGAACTCGACAGAGCCGCTTTTCGTTCCACCGCCCACCAAGCGCTCCAGCGGGGTCTGCTGCATGAGCTACTCCAAGAGCCACCGTTGCAAAAACATTTCAAAGGTAAGTAAATGGGCCATATGTAACTACTATTTATATCACACTACTAGACCTGAGCATCATACCAATTGTTACAGCAGAAGGTTTTGAATCATTGTGTCGGGAGGTCATTGTCATTCACAACAAATTTACAGAAGAATGCATTTTTAATGTAACATATAATCTACCTGGTTTAGAGGCTGAACATAGAAAATAATATTATTAACAGAAATTTTTTTCCAGGAGAAAACTAAAAATTGTTCACAGAGATGAGAGAGAAAAAAGGCCAACTCATCGATGAGTCTTAAAAGTTAGCAGATCTTATAGTAGAAGAGAGGGATGAACACTCAAATGACTCCAACTACGTCATTTAAAACAGAGTCAGAAAGAGCTAAAATTACACTCTGGTTGAATTACACTGAGGTATCTGGAGTCCAATATTTCTCAGTGGTGGTTTAAGTCTAGAGTCAAGGCAGCCTAAAATCTACTAGAGGATTTTAGAGACCTATATGCTTCATCTACTGTGAAGACACTGACTTCTTTTTCATGCGGGACTTAGCACCTGCGCACAGTGCCAAAACTTCAACCAAATTGTTTTCTGACCACAGGGTTTCTGTCCTTGACTGGCCTTATGTGATTCAATAACACCACAGCAGAATGACAGGCTGATCGCCTCCATAATGCAGAAATTTATGATAAAGGGAGGAGTGCATAGAAGAACCTGCTTTGTAGAAGTTTCCACAAGTTTCATTTTTGTTCTTCAATCATTTTTATTGTTCCTGGAAAACTCTGTCATGATTTGCCACACTGGATGTCTGATTTTTCACAAGCTGTAATTTATAACCATCATGTGTATTCACATGTGGTGAATACAAGGTGGATGTGAGAGTTTACCTTTAGGGGATTAATTGTGGATGATATTTTCCTTTACTGGGATGTTCCTGTAATTTACAATAACATTTACAGATTAGTTACAGCAAATCCTCCACGTCCATGCGTGCTTTGAGAGATAAAGCCTCTTTCCAGTATATTTTGCTAATTAAACTTTTCTTTTTAAATATGATTGTGTATTTTTATTAGGTGGTTTTGATCATTTAACTTCTGAAAACAACTGAAGAACAAAATAATCCTCCCCTGCAGCAGAAATCAATGAAATGGAGGATAATTTTGGACACAGCAAAGCCTGTTTTCATGACAGACTTTGCTGCGGTACACACAGGTGTATCTAATAATGTCTGTTATGGCTGCATTCCTCAGTGTGTGCCAGCGCCAGCTTCAGTATCATGCCTGCATATTGACTTTTTTACACGTCCAGACATTTTAATGGATCACAGACACTAAAATAGCTTACTACTCCAAAAATGAACAATTTTATAACAGAGGGTTTTTCTGTTTTTCCGTTAGAGCCACATGTTGTTGATGAGCTGAGTTGCTATTTTTGTTTGAGCGTGACCACACAAAAGAAGAAAAACACAAACACCACCACCTCTAAGATACTGGTGACCAGCTGAATGCTGGATTACATGTTCACTTGACACACCGGATGGACTGATTCACATGTGGTATGAGATAATTATTTATATGAGGCTCATCCCATACATGGTGTTTAGAAAGGGCAGAACTTAAAAAAAGTGGCACTGGTTGGTCCAATCTTTCCTTGACTGGAAACAAACAAATTGACCTGAATAGTTGGGAGATGACAAGCATGAATCCTGGCCAAATCATCTGCTTTTCAGGAGTTGTACAAGTGTTGGAGGAAGATCAATATGATATTTGGATAAAGGACTGACCAATAGCCCCCTCAGTTTCCTGCGTTTTGCAGTTTATCACCGTTAGGTCCCTCACTATAAGTATTAGGGAGTGCTCCTCTGTTAAACCCTTTTATTTAGGAAATGTGGGTTATCACTCTCCCTGTATGCAGACGATGATGTTGTCTTTCTGTCAAAACCAAAGCTGTCTGTTTCCATTTTGTTGGAACTTATCAGGCCATTGGGTGAATTACAAATTCATGTTGTTGAGCACTGATCTTAACACTTAATTCCTTCAAAGTCTCCCAGTCAACATTACAGATAAACTCGGGTATCTGGGAGTAGTTTTACCCAAATACCCCCAGCTGATTAATATGTTCAAATTTCCAGAGAAAGTGAAAAAAAAAAGTTAGAGGTCATTAAAATTGGAGGACCCTTCTTCTGTCTATGGTTTGCCATGCAAATGCCATAAAAATGGTCTCTGCCAAGATTCTTGTACCTTTTTCAGAATCTACCCGTGTATCTTAAAGGTCTTTTTCAAATTATTAGAATCAATACTTGTCATTTATTTGGGGTTTAAAGCTCACAGAATATAGAAATTCGTTTATGTAAATCAAGAGATGCAGGCGGGCTATGATTACTAGGGCTTCTGCATCATTACTGGGCAGGGAATTCAAGGGCCTCTGTCAATTGGCTGGAAGGTTACAGGATGGAAATACTGACTGAGGAGCCCCTGGTTTACCTGACTCCACTTTATAGCAATCATACATTTCCCCATCCCTCTCAGATGTATGCTTTAAGTAGTTGAAGACTGTAACGTATAGTTACTCTGAAAGATTTTTATATCAACAAGCAATAGTCTTGGGTGGCTGACGCAGCTCAAGAGAGAACATTGAGTCATTTCTTCAAGGAAATGCAATCAGACTGAGATGCTAAGGCAGAAGATCTACTGCATCTGCCGTGCAAAAGATTAATAGTGTTGATTATTAATTATTACTTCAAGGAAACGATAAAGTAATGATCATAAATGTTCTTCTTTGAGCTGCATCACTCCGCTGCAGTTGGTGATCGACTCGTCCAAGCTCTCCGTACAAACAAGCAGTGAGTTTTGTTGAGTCTCTTTACTGAAGAAATCAGGCAAAGCTAAAAAGATGTTTGGTGGCTAGTGCTGTGGCTGGGACCCTATATGTACTGTTGATGAAGTTAGGTGCTGTTCTGAGCATTATTTGTGGCTATAGAGTGGCTTTTTGGTTAAGCGTGTGGCTCCTGAGACCGCTGTGTATTGCTATCCTGTGGTCGTTAGAAGCAAGCGGTCGGCAACATTCATCTCTCGAGGGGGTGTCTAACTTGGTGTTACGGTGTGGTTGTGCAACTCCAGGAATTAATTGACTTGATCATCTACAGACCACAAAATCATCAATAGATGCAGAGAATCAGAGGAATCTGCACTTAAGCAGCAAGACCCAAACCCAACACTGAATGACTGTGACCTCTGACCCCCCAGGCGGCACTGCATTAAAAACCCACATTATTCTGTAAAGGATTTTACTACGTGGGCTCAGGAGGACTTCAGAAAACCATTGTCAATTAACACAGCTCATCTGTATATCTACAAGTTCAAACTCTATGAGACAAAGACAAAGACAGATATCAACAACATCCAGAAACACAGCCGGCCTATCTGGACCCGAGCTCATCTGTGATGGACTGCTGCAAAATGGAGAAGTCTGCGGTGGTCTGAGGAAGGTGATTTCCAAAACTATCTATATATTTTTGTGTGTGGGTGAACATCAAACTATTTTATTTTTAAGAGTATTTGTTGACTTCAAAATGTTTTTTGAATGGTTAAGGGATCTGGAGCCCCCTGTCTGCACTGACAGGGACACAGGGATAGTCAACAACAGCTTTGACTCCCAATAAGAGAGAAGAAGAAACCCTGGAACAGGCCTTTCCTTCTTCTGTCTCCACTCATGGTCAGCCACGTGTTCACAGATTTCTCTTAAGAATCCTATAAATACAGGTGCAGGTGATTTTGCCTGAATTAATCTCTCCACTTCAAAAATATTAGGGAAATTAGCAGAGGACATGACTATATAAAGTTGCTTTATGCTGGATGTAGGATTTAGTATTTCTCGGACATGATGTGAATATCAGGTACAGAAAGTGAGGAGTCTTTAGTCTTAGATGAATTGATGAAAGCATGAAAACTGTTTTTTTTTAGCATTAAACAATTGAGCTGTTTTCTCAAAGAAATCTCTTAAAAAAAGATTTAGAAAAGAAAGTATGTAAATCGTTAAGGCTCATCAAATTTGTAACAGCACTCTTCTACCACTAGAGAGCAGCATTTACCTGCTGTGACTGGTCTGTTTGCAGCCTGCCTCACAGGAACACCTAAATACAAGTCTGAGTTCCTCCTCTTCTTCTTCTTCTTCTTCTTCTCGTGAACCTTATTAAATAAACAGTTCCTCTGATGTGAACATAATTTCATCACTTTTTGATGCTGTGTGGGAATTTCCTGTCAACAGGGCAGCTCTGGACTTTGAATCCCTCTCTGAACAGGATCCTGGCAGAGCTGCACGTTTACCTCTCCTGTCAGCACATCAGTGTTTCTGCTGCCAGAGTTTGGTCTCATTGTCCACAGCATCCTCACACACACCCTGTGCAGTCTCAACTTCACAGCCTGCTGCTGCTGCAGCCCTCCCAGCTCCCTCACAGACCATCTGTCAGCACTCTAGAGTTGTTTTGTGTGCTGTTGTCTTCAGGCCAAACTCAGTTTATGATCCGTTCAGCCACCCTCTTGCTTTTTTAAAATGATACCAACTTCTCGTGAGTCCTGACTTCTGGGACACACTCCCTGACCCAGTCTTTTGCTGGCATAGAAACGCGTCACAGAGTCAGGCTGTCAGAGCCGTTGTCCATCTGTTCCTCATAGACTTTGAGCAGAAGAGCGAAGCCACAGCTGTAATTAGCAGCGGGGAGAAGCTGAAAATCCCTGCAGAGTTCAAGCTGAACGTGACTTTCCCGACTGTCTGCATCCACAAGGAGACTGAAAATAACAATGTGGGAAAAGACCAGAGTCTGACTCTGGACCCGACACAGATACCAGACTTTGACAAATGACTCAAAAGGACATCAAAAGGACGTAAAACTGCAAAAGCACTGTTTTGTTGTTGAACTATGACAGTAAATCTTTGCATACTGATGCTTGAGCTGACTCAGTCTTAGACACAAAAACAGACTAAGGAAGAGAAAAGGTTCGACAACTTTTATTGTGAAAATTTATGCAGAAACTATTTCATAGAGGATTTAATTTCTAATGGTACAAGATTCACAATTAAAAAAAATAGGTAAATAAAACAAAGCGTTTTTTAAAGATTCCTTTTTGTTTAGCCTGATATTTTCAGCCTTTAAGAACATGGCAGACCTCGTCAACCCTTTAACATTTAGGCTAATGAGGAATAGTAAAAAGAAATCAGCAGTGAAAATGTAATCTCTGCGGTAAATAAAACATAATAGTCATATGCTGAGAAAAAGAAAAACAAGAGAAAAACTTCATGAGGACATACTTACTTTTGCTTACTCCTTGTTTTACTGAACGGACTTTGAAGACCTTGCAATGCCCACATGTCCTTTTGGTTGGTCAGCTAACTAACTTTTATCCTGCTGGTCCACAGGGATCATGATTTTTTATTAACACGACCTGCCCTAAAGTCTAGCTGTGTTTACCATAGCTACTTTTGGTGACAAGGAGGATGACAGCCCTGCAGCAGCAGCTGGAGTTGACCGAGTTGGCCAGACCTGTTGAGAACCACTGCTTTATGGGACTCAGGGGACTCAGTAGCTGCTTAATTAAGCTCAAACATTATTCATTTATTTATTTATTCAGGATACCTATTAGTTATTGCTGCAATAAAAAAAAATATATATTTCAGTCCGGGTAACCATATGTCCTCTTTTACCCAGACATGTCCTCTTTTTTTGGGGCTGTCCGGCCTTGTCCGGGGGAGAGGGTTTTGTATGGAAGTTTGAGTTTATGTCGCGTGGACTTAATGAGCGTAAAAAACACTCGACCCAAAAAACTCTCACAATTTACCATGCGTGTCTCCTTGAATCCACCCCTGTGTAGTTGTGTCCTCTTTTTGAGGATTCAGAACATGGTCACAGTAATTTCAGTATTGATTTTCAGGTTTTTGACAATGCAGGGCTGGGTGTTAAATGGAACTGGGTCTTGATCCCCAACATTGGGAATAAGATGCACCAAAAAAAACAGACCCTGCAACCAGTGCAACAAAGACTGTAGCCTCTTCGGTTTGCATAAAAGAATTAGGTCATATTCACATGTTAGTCAGGCAATACCCCTGACACTGAATAACACATCACCTTCATGCAGATTCTCTTTGCAAAGGATTGTGGTAGTTTCATTATTTTGCTGGACATGGTGAGAACTTTGGGGGGAAGTTTGCATCTCAAATGTCATGTATGATGCCTGAAAAGGCTGCCTCCCTCTTTTTACTCCCCGGTTAGTTTCATCCAAAGGTTGCAGTCAAACCTGTATTTTGTGTCTCTAGAAGCTGCAGTTTCAGGGTTGCACTTCTGGGTGTGCATCATGTGTGAAGCCTCATGCTGATTATGAATTTGCAGTCTTTTGGTCTGCAGACATGCAACTCGATTGTATTTATGAGTACGCACAAACACATAAGTGACAGAGGGCAGTGAGTTACAGGAGTGTCTGGTAGAGCAACAAGCCTCTAAAAGGTGAAATTGTGAACTGTTTTGAGTTTTCATGCTAATGATATTAGCCTTCCTTCACTCAGGTGGTTATTGAAAAACGAAATGTAAGAAACCAATGCACGCTTGGTAGTCTCCCCCATTTGTGCGTGTAGAGATTTATAACATCTAATTCATACAGACATGTTATACATAGATATGCAAGACTTCTCCTGCAGAATGCCTCACATTCTGGATCCACCACATCTGAATCCTCCTCTTATCTCTGTGGCCGACCGATGAGCTGTCTACAGTGCGGCAGCCTTGAATGTACCCTTCATCACTCACAGGCAGTTCTCAGAGTCTTTGCTTGAGTTTGTGTGTGCGCATGTGTGTCTGCACTCTTATAACAATATATGTGTCTGCAAATCCTAAGATCCACATCTGTATTCGTGTTAATCCAAGGTCCTTCCTTCCGTCTCCACACATCCCTCTTCTTTCACATCCTCTTCAGTCTTGGTGCTTTAGCAGCTTTCTCTTATCTGCCTCGACCTTGACATCGACCGTCTGCAGCTAACCATCTTTCTCACAAATAGGAGAGAAATCGTGGTGATGTAGTTCACAAAAAAACGCACACAATCGCACATGAAACATAAATTTCAGTCTGGCACCAAAGGGGCAATATTTCACTTTACAACCAGCTCACTTCCACCTCTTTGAAGTGAGTTTGTTTCACTTCCCTCTCCTAGTTAAGCTGTAGTAATGGCTCAGTAATGTCTTCAAGTGACCGTGGGGCTCTGTTTCAGCCTGTGAACGCTCCTGTAGTTCGAGACCATTACCTCAGTCATAACTGCAGGCCCTGCTGGGAGCTGGGAAGTGGGTCTGTGTCTCACCCTGCTGGCCCAAATCATTCTTTTAATCTTTTAGTGCCCATAAAATGAAATAGTATAAAGAAAAGTAGAGGAGATGGAAAGCTGCAGGCTGACAGAAATAGTTCTTATCTGACACATATGTTGACATTTTAGCATGTGCAGGAATGCAAAGACTCTTACAAGCCTAATAAAATCGATCAATAAGAGCTTGTTAGAATATGCTGAACTGTTGTTAATATTGGCTCTGTTTATTTGACATGGAGCTCAATAACCTAATGGACTTGAGTTTCATTGAATTTACAATCAAAGTTCCTGACTTCCCTTAGGAGCTTCACAGGCTGATGAAGATCCTATTGGCTGACTTTGGCAGTTGTTGTCTCATTCACTTTGTCCTTTTCCTGTGGGCGACTCTGAGCTATTTGTCTAAAAGAAATTATAAACCTGTTAACTGCCTGAGGCTGGCTGCTGTTAAAGTTTTGCACCTTAAAATAGTTTGCAGCAGGTTGATGACTTCCAGACAGTAAAAAGTGGTGCATGGTGGCTGCTTTGTCTGTGCTTGTGCATCATTGTATCACATCACTTTTTATTTTTTAAATTTTGAAAGTCTGCACCCTATACAGTTTAAAGGGATATTCCTGCGTAAAATTAAGTTAGGGTCAAACACACCGCAACACCTAGTTATACACCCCCTCGAGAGATGTGTGTTGCCGACTGCTTGCTTCCAACCTACTACCAACTTTAGTAACGACTGCACAATAGCAATACACAGCGGTCTATCACTCCAGGTGAAAACCTCAACCAAAAAGTCATTCTATAGCCACAAATAATGCTCAGAACAGCACCTAACTTCATCAACAGTACATAAAGCGTCCTAGCCATAGTACTAGCCACCAGACATCTTTTTAGCTTTGCCTGGTTTCTTAATTTTAAGAGACCGAACACAACTCACCAACTCTCTTCCAGCAGCCGCTTGTTTCTGGGGGAGCCCTGACGAGTCGATCACAGAGTGCAGCGGAGTTTCGCAGCTCAAGGAAGAACATTCATGGTTATTACTTAATTGAAAAACAATCAGACCAAGACGCTAAGGCAGAAGAACTACCAAGTCTGCAGTACAAAATTATTATTATGATGTTTATCATTTCAAGGAAATGATCCGCTAACTTAATTTTACGCCGGAATATCCCTTTAATTCTAATGTCTTGTTCACATCTTTTCCAGTTTTTGTTGACCAGATGCAGCTTTTTGTGTTGTGTTTTCAAACCCTAGTTGTCTTGTTTGGTCACAATGCCATTAATATTCCAAATAATAACCTATTCAGCTCATTTATTCAGATTTCTTCCTCCAGTCTGATTGGAGGGACGTACTTAGCTGTGGAGCAGAACTAAAAGTGCCACTGACCACTCAGAATGGATTAGTCAAATGATCTGTGTAATTTACAAGCTGAACATGAGCTTTGGGGTGTAAGCGTGGACAATGGGAAACTATAGCAAGGCCTCAATGCATTGGAGCTGAGCTGGAGTCTCACATAGCTGCCTGCATGGCTGTAAACGTCTTGCATTGTTGCTTTGTTTCTTGTTGGTCTTTGTGTGAGTCCAGCCTGAGCTCTCAGACAGCTACAGTCTGACCTTGGCTGATGAAAAAGAAGCTTTATCTTGTCAATCTGACACTTTTTCACTCACCCCCTCAGACCTCAATGTGTTAATCTAAAGGTACAAGCAGTCCAACACCAAATTACCCCCAACCTTTAAAAATTGGGATAAAAATGGTATTTTTTGCTGCTGTGTTTGGCTCTGAGCGCTGCAGGTTGTAGTGGGTGGTGCGTGCAGCATCAGGAGAGGACTCAGAGTTTGCTGTATCAGAGGACAGGACAGGTAGAACTGCAGTGCTCAGAGGAGATGAAGGTTAGTTGTAGGTGATTGATGGTGTTTCCTGCATCTTTGTCATTGAGTAATCGACCTAAAGTCATTGCAGTTGTTAGTATTGAATCAAGTATCTGTAATGAAATCATGTAGCAGGTTGGCGCTAAACGCAGAGTTCCGACTCTAATGCAGCAAGAGTGATGAGATTACTGCTGCCAGCATGATTCATGTCCTCCTGTGCGGGTGGAAATGCTGAGATAGTGATCCCATACACTGTTTTATCCATCCAGGAATCTAATATGCTGATAGTTTTAGAGAATAAAGAAAAATCTGTTACAGGATGTTTGTATATCTGAATACCAAAGGTATTTGATTCAATAGCTGTGTTTACAACCCCAGTTCAAAGAAGTTAAGATGCTGTAAAAAAAAAAGGTGATAAAATTGAATTTTTTACACATAATTTAAAGCTTATAAATGATAAAAAAATAATACTACAATTACATTAAATCATGCTAAAACTGAAAATCTTATTTCAACATATTTCATGTTGTTAGTATAATAACAGATATTCAGGAACATGATCACTCCCAGGTAGCTAATTTTAATTCCTGCAGCTCATTATCTCCTCCACCTCTTCTGTCTAGATAAAACTGCCTAACCCATGGTCTCTCACTTGTCTCAGTTCTCACAACAGTTAAAAACATGTTAAAACAGTACTTATTTCAAATCAACTTTGAAAGTAAAATAAAGATATTTGAGGCCTCACCATGGATCACAAGCTCATCCTCGGTCCTTCAGACAGCGATATGTTTGAAGATCAACCCGTAATCTTAGTGTCTCCACTTTAAGTCATGGCACCCACTCTGCCACTGACGGACAATCAGCCTTGGCATCTTCTCCATTGTCAATGTACCTCAGCACAACATGGTCCACCACCTCCTCAAAGAACTCGTTGATTTCTGCTGCTGCACCACCACCTCCACCTTGGACCTCCTCCCCTGCCAACATACCACCTTCTGCTCGTGGCCCAATTCCCCAAGGTGTTGACAGAAAGGGGAGGCCAATGCTTTATCAAGGAGGCCGAATGGTTTACAATAACTTCAATGATCTTGGCTGCAATGTTTCAAGTTCTCCACTTTCCTTGATCTTGGTGTTCCTCTCTCCTCATGTCAAGTTGTGTCAGGGTCATGATCATGTTTGCCTTTTCGTCAACCCAGCAGACCAGTATCTGGAGTCTGAAAGTCAAATGTTGTCCTCATCTTGCCTAATAGAGGATTTCAGCTGCTCAACAGTTCAGGGTCTCTTCAGTCCTATTTTTGGTGTCATGATGCTCCAGATTTTTTCAGTCAGGATTGCAGATGGACCAGTTTCTGAGCAAGACTCTTCTACTACAGAGCCATGCTGTTGTTATCCCTGTTGTCAGAATGTGGTTTGTCATTGTCTTGCTGAAATATGAAGGTCTTCCCTAAAAAAAGTCTGTCTGGATGGCAGCAGATGTAGATATTGTTCAGCAGTAATGGAGCCTTCACAGATGTGGAAGATACCCATGACATGGACTCTGATGATCCCCTTACCATCAGGGATGCTGGATTTGGACTGGGAGCTGAGAACTCCTCTTTAAAGTGGAGGAAGCAGCAGCCTAGATTTCCAAGAGGAATGTCAAATTTTGATAAACCACATTAGAAATTTCCTCTTCACCTTAGACCATCTAAATAGATCCAAAGATAAAAGATACTTGTTTTTTGATTGCCAAACCTTTAAGACCTTCCTTTTTTCTATCAAATATTTTACTCATTGCTATTTTTGACACTTTAGACTCTGCTTAGCCTGTGTGAGAGCCTGACCACTGAATGTGTTGGCAGAGGATAATGCACAGTTTCTCACACATACACATGGCAGCATGCAGCAGTAAATCAAAGGGGAGTGCCCGATAAACTGTTTATTGTGAATAAGGTTTGAGTATTTACTACCTCTGTTGATTCTGCCTTAGGTGGACTTCACTGTGTCAGAGAAGCAAATCGAGTGAGCTGGATGACTAATTAGGAATAAGCTACAGTTGGATGACTACGCTGGCAGGATGTGGACTTTTACTGGAATCAGGTTTGCAGCGTCTCAGGGATAATTCCTCTATCACATGCAATACAGTCTCAATCAAAACAAAGTCTGCGGGAACATTATGTGAGTGAATCAGCTCGCCTGTGGTCTGACCGCTTACTGTGTCACGCACTAAAAGAAGGATTTGGTTCAGTTTGTGAGCAGGTATTTAGTGCTTTAGTGTACTTACTGAAAATGACCGTCTTTAGTAACCCTCTGAATTTACAGCCTCCGGGAGCAGAGACGCTCACTTCACTGAGTCTGCTATTCTCAGGCATGGTGCACTGCATCCACTTTTTACTACAAAAGCATTAACTCAAACAAATGGCAAGAAGTTGACAATTATAAAAATAGATTACACAGTATGACATGAAGTGGCATCTACACACACTAATATAAACAGAACAGAGTGATTATATGGACTAATACCAACACTGTCCTGTCTGTGATTAATGGATTTTTGAAGGGAGTATCAGGATATGAGTAAAACCTGGGTCGTGAGAACAGGATCTCTGCCCTCTTAGCGTGTTAACATGAATATGGTTGTTCTTGTGCTTCTCTGGTGTGGCCTGAGGAAAACTAGTTATTTGGTATGTGTGGTTTTGACAGTCATCAGGTTTCTGATGATCTGTGCGCTGGTTCATCTAAGGCCTGGTCCTCTCACAGGCCGGTATCCTTGAAGACAAAGCTTCTCTGTGTGTTTTAGTCCTCTGTACACATGCACATGAAGTCTAAGGTCACAGAGGTTTCCAAAACACCTTCCAAGGTGGAGACTTTTGTAAACTGTTTAATCTGTGTTAGTATAACAGCAAAAACAAACAGATGCTGACGTCGTTGCCTGAACTTACCGTTGTTTATATGTTTTTCACGTTTGCCCAGCTGGCACAATCAACAGCTGGGCCCAGTATTACAGACGGGATCACCAGCCTTTCGAGTGAATAAAAGTTGAATTATAGTTATTAGCAAGGGCACTTTCACGTACTAATGTGGAAAACATCTTTCCGTTGAGTTCACAGTGATCACACACCAGCCACATGTTCTGTGCAACTATAACATCAGTTTGGAGTGAACGTCAGGGTCCTTCTTTTTGTGTAGTTTTCTTCTGTTTCCATGTGATTGTGATAGAAATTTAGCGATAATAGTTGGAGTCTGTCTTCTAGATGCAGAAGGGAAGTCCTAAATTTCAAATGGAGTCCATGATGGATGAGACAAATTTCAACCAGCTTAACAAAGTAATTAATGAAAACTAACCAAAATCATGAAAATGTCAAAAACTGAAATACAACTAAAAAGAGGCTTTACAAAAACATAGCAGCTAACTCAAAATGTATAATATTAGGACACTGTTATTCTGATTCTCCTTTTTTGTGATAACACAGACTGTATGGCAGTAACTCAGGAGGTAGAGTGGTCCTCCAGCAACTGGAAGGTTGGTGGTTCAATTCACCCCTATCCCTAGTCTGTCTGTTGTCTCCTTGGGCAAGGCACCTAACCCACCTTGCTCCCATTGTGTGTCCTCCACTGGTGTGTGATTGTGAGTGTTGTGTGGTGGTGATTGGAGGAGCCATAAGTGCAAATTGGCAGTCACTTCTCTGTCAGACTGTGGCTACTAAGGTATTTTACCACCAACCAGGTTGTGACTGTATGAGCAAATGAATGATGTATCCAATGTAAAGCGCTTTGAGGGTTTCTGATAAAGCACTATGCACTATTGTTACTGATTAACTTGTTATTACTGATGGTGGAAGAGACATTCCACACAGGGGATCCACAGCTAAAAGGTGACAGACATTGTTCTGAATTATAAACCTCAAGCACAAGCCATGATGTTATAAATTACACTTTTTAAAGCTTGAAAAGGCTGAATGATTTGTTGGATCAGCGGCAGGTGATAAAATATAAGCTGTAAAAAGTAATTCCTTCCAAGTTTATGACCCCAGTGTAAAAATACTTTACTGCGAGTGAAATCTGAGATCCAGTCTAGTTTTATCATTAGAATTAATCCAAGGCTCTTAAAAGTGAAGTGAAGAACTGATACATGGTCCCTTTCAGTTGTAGTTCATGTGGATTGAGACAGACATGTTTAGTGGATGTAAAGGGTAGGTTCAACATTATACGTAATCTTAAATAGTCCCCTCCTATATGGTGCCCATGCTGATGTGAATATTTCACAAACTGGATTATAAAAGGAAACTAGTGTGCAAGAAACATGCTCCATCTCTGTTAAAACCAGACCGACTCTGAGACTACTCAATTCAGTCAATCAAACAGAAAAGCGAAAGCATAGAAACAGATTGAGAGCTCTCAGACGGCAGAGCAGAGTTGGCTGATACGTTATTCTTACTCATTTAAATGGTATGTGTTTGCGAATGAATAACATAATCCCCTTTAATGATCGTTTTTAAAAAGCTGCAGATGAACTCCATCACTGAGTCTTCACTGTCTGCTGAAAAGAGCGCAGAGCCATTACTCCTCTGGGCAGCGGCCTCGTCTGCTGCAGAGGCTCATTCATCAGTGCACTTGGACAGGTTTTTATTGTTTTTTTTAAGTGGCTGGAATTGAACCTGGGTGAACAACTCTGGATAATGACTCCAGAATATAATATAATATAAAAAAATGAGGACCAGATCATCTGATGTGCAGTAATCAGGATGATTGCATGTTATTAGATTACACTGTGTTTGTGCATCAAAATGAACATATTAAGATAATTATTCTCCAACTCTTCCAGCATAACATAGCAAACTAATGACTTAACATGATGCAATTACGCTCTCATTTTAGTCTTTTCTTTCCTACTATGATAAAGAAAGAGAGATCAGGACTTTGTTACAGTGTCATTAAAGGATTCCTGGGTGTTTTCTGGCTCTGTGTGGTTTTCTCACAGTAACTTGATTAATATTCAGTGTGGAAGTGTGACATTTCCTCTCTGACTGTACCAGCATGGAGATCACAGAGCGGCTGCTTTGGTGTGGTGGTGTAAGATGATATGTAAGAGCAGCTGTTGGCCCTCAAGAGCTCGACCAGATGTCCTCCAAACAGCTGATCAAAATGCTTGTGTGCTACAAACAGTAGTTCAACGTTTAGTCATTTTGAAGTGTGTATGTTCTCCTCTGGTGATGATGAATGAATTCACTGTACTTTGTACAGTAAAACAACATGAATTTGGATGATTTTACATCTCAGTTTGAAGTGATTTCAAGCACCCACACTCTAAAAACTCTTGGGTTATTTCTTCAACCCGATTCCTGGGTTATACGTGTTGAGTTAAATTTCTGGGTTATTTTTCAGATCCATACCCATTTCTTGGGTCATAAGGATTCTAGTTTAACCCGATTTGAGGTTTTTTTTTAATCGGTTAATAATTATGGGTTATTTTTCAGAGAGTAACCCAATAATTGGGTCAGAACGTTGGGTTCGATTGACTCTACGTGGTTTCTAGGCCTAATGGCAATTAAAGTGACCTGGTGACCTTGTCAACTTTGACCTTGATTTCATATACAATATGATATGTACATATAGATATACACTCACCGGCCACTTTATTAGGTACACCTGTCCAACTGCTCGTTAACACTTAATTTCTAATCAGCCAATCACATGGCGGCAACTTAGTGCATTTAGGCATGTAGACATGGTCAAGACAATCTCCTGCAGTTCAAACCGAGCATCAGTATGGGGAAGAAAGGTGATTTGAGTGACTTTGAACGTGGCATGGTTGTTGGTGCCAGAAGGGCTGGTCTGAGTATTTCAGAAACTGCTGATCTACTGGGATTTTCATGCACAACCATCTCTAGGGTTTACAGAGAATGGTCCGAAAAAGAAAAAATATCCAGTGAGCGGCAGTTCTGTGGGCGGAAATGCCTTGTTGATGCCAGAGGTCAGAGGAGAATGGCCAGACTGGTTCGAGCTGATAGAAAGGCAACAGTGACTCAAATAACCACCCGTTACAACCAAGGTAGGCAGAAGAGCATCTCTGAACGCACAGTACGTCGAACTTTGAGGCAGATGGGCTACAGCAGCAGAAGACCACGCCGGGTGCCACTCCTTTCAGCTAAGAACAGGAAACTGAGGCTACAATTTGCACAAGCTCATCGAAATTGGACAATAGAAGATTGGAAAAACGTTGCCTGGTCTGATGAGTCTCGATTTCTGCTGCGACATTCGGATGGTAGGGTCAGAATTTGGCGTCAACAACATGAAAGCATGGATCCATCCTGCCTTGTATCAACGGTTCAGGCTGGTGGTGGTGGTGTCATGGTGTGGGGAATATTTTCTTGGCACTCTTTGGGCCCCTTGGTACCAATTGAGCATCGTTGCAACGCCACAGCCTACCTGAGTATTGTTGCTGACCATGTCCATCCCTTTATGACCACAATGTACCCAACTTCTGAAGGCTACTTTCAGCAGGATAATGCGCCATGTCATAAAGCTGGAATCATCTCAGACTGGTTTCTTGAACATGACAATGAGTTCACTGTACTCAAATGGCCTCCACAGTCACCAGATCTCAATCCAATAGAGCATCTTTGGGATGTGGTGGAACGGGAGATTCGCATCATGGATGTGCAGCCGACAAATCTGCGGCAACTGTGTGATGCCATCATGTCAATATGGACCAAGCTCTCTGAGGAATGCTTCCAGCACCTTGTTGAATCTATGCCACGAAGAATTGAGGCAGTTCTGAAGGCAAAAGGGGGTCCAACCCGTTACTAGCATGGTGTACCTAATAAAGTGGCCGGTGAGTGTATATTATATATATTGGGGTAGCTCAGGGTAGCTACCCCAAAATGTATTGGGCGGCTGGGGTAGCTCAGCGGGTAGAGCATCCTGTTCCCACCCACAGGGTCGGGGTTTGAACCCTGCATGAGACACATAAGGAGCCAACTACATCTACCTGTGTGGGTCCTTAAGTAAGACCCTTAGCGCAATGGCCTACCTCATAAACATCCATGCATTACCACTGAAAGCCAAACCGGCTCAGAAGTTGCCTGGGCTAACAGGGTCTGCAAAGCAGAAAAAAAAGCTCCCCAAATGCATATATCAATTTAACCCAAGATCATGAGTCGAATTACCTCAGAGATTGGATTAACTTGACCCTTAAAAAGGATTATTGAGTCAACCCAAATTTGGGGTTTATTTGAATAACCCAACATTCTGGGTCAAAATAACCCAATAAGTAGTCGGTCCCTTTTTAACCCTGCTGTTGGGTTATTAGGGGTTTTTAAAGTGCAGTGCCAGAGATTACCTTATTGACTTAGTGATGTGTGTAGAGTTTGTCATTTCAGCTTAGTTTTCCACTTCAACAGCTAACACATTATATTTTGATACGGTAAACATACCCTTTGGGCCATGGGTTGTGCCATCTTGCGGTAAACAAACTCTAAGAGTGAACTCTTACCCTGAAGATGCTCTTCCATTAATCTTTTCTTACTTTCTGATTGAACCTCTAAAAACTGAAGAAAGTGGTTGTGTGATTCAGAAAGGTCCTGGAGAACAGCAGGACTCTCGGGGATCATGATCTCACAGTGTACTCACCTGAACCACCAGGTAACATCTCTTGCTCTCAAGTTAGCACAGAAGTTTTTCCCTCCTCTCTCTCTCAGTCTGTTGAATCTCATTCTCCCTCTGTAAACTCTGCTTCATCTGCTGGTGTTGACAGTGAACAGTGAGTGTTTTTGCCTCTTTTGAAGCCCAAACAGCTGAACACTGTTTGCACTGCAGGCGAGAGAAAACTGTTGTATCTAAAAGTAGTGTTCAGTTTAACTCATAAGATTCAGATAAAAAGTTGAAGTCAGTTAAAAAAGGACTTGATGTGTTTAATTTCATGTATTTCATGATGTTTCATTGGAGTGAGTTAAGAAATGAGTGAGATTCGAATAGCAGTACCGCCATCTACTGGCCGATTTTGGTACGATTAGGCTTTGTCAATGTTGAATCAAACCTTTATCCAGGAAGTGACAGAGAAAAAAACAACAACAAAGAAGCTCAGAGAAGCACGTTTTGCCAGCTTCTAGCTACGACTGGCTACTTCAGCGTACATCTTTTACGAGTTGCATCGTTGGTATGTGTTAACATGTGAATTTATGGTTATATGCCAGAGTCTTAATTGGCAAAGTATTACGTTGTGTACTTATTTGTGTTATCATGTGCCTCACGTGGATTCTGCCTACATTGAGTGAGGTATTTTAGTTAGCTATGCCAGGCTTTAGTTTGTATGGTTCACAGATGTGGAATAGTTTACTTTATGGTTTATGCATCTCCATAAATTCAATATATATTATATTTGTTTATCTCTTAGTTTCACATTTAGCTTCAACAATAAACCTGGCAGAAAAAGTGAAACCCACTGAGTTGTTTGGAGGGAAGAGTTTAGCTGCCTGTCAACACATGTACGCTACGCATTGAGGACAGAGTAAGTAGTGCTAAAACAAAGTGACTTTTGATGGCAGTAAAGTGTGGAAAGATGTCCAAGCAAAGTGTACTTTCATAGCGAGAACAGCACTTTGGTTGACATTTCTTAGACTTGGCCAGTTTTGTGGTAAATTGACCTCGTCTGCAGCGGTTGATAGCTGAGCTTTCATACAGTCTGTACATTTTCTGTTGCATCTAAACTCTGTGCATTCAATTTTTTATGCAGTTTAGAAATTAGTCACACATGTCTTTCCTTTTGTTTTCTGTGGTTGTGTGTCTGCAAAACATGGTTGATTTGGTAATAGAGCACTTCTTCATGATTTAAGGGACAGAGTGTCTCCAGATTGAAGTGATGTGTATCTGTCACTGAATTACTGTAAAAACTGTCCCAGAGGGACTCTAAAGGAAGTAGTTATGCAAGTTTACTTGTCTGTTTAGACACAGACTGCCGCAAAATCCAGACCCCAGACTGCTTCAATCAGATTTCACCACAACCTGACTAACCGGAGCACACTGGGATTAAGTCCAGACCTCTGCGATCATGAGGAGGAGTGAGTGGGAGGGAAAATAAATGAATAAAAAAATAAAGTTTTACCACAACTGTAAAACAGGATTTTTGTCTTTGTGAGTGAAAACCTAAAACCTGTGAAGAGAGAGAGAGAGAGGAGACAGCTGAGAGATGGAAATCTGTGAAAACACTTCCTGAAAATATCGCTGTAGTTTATGAGATCATTTTAGAGAAGGTACAGGCGACTATGTGGTCAGTTCTCAGAGACAGTGTCTGCAGTATGGATGTAATGGATCTAAAAAGCTGTACTTCTGTATATCAATCAAACAATCAATCAAACTTTATTTATAAAGCACTTTTCATACACAGAAAAAAAGAGTCTTGTACATTCAAGAAATCTGCGCCAGAGCAGTAGATGCTCTGTAGATTGGTAATATCTTGTATGTGTAGCTCAAAACTGAAATTTGGATCAAATGTAACACCCAAATTTTTCATTTTTTCAATTTTTTTTGTTACACATGCTCACTAATGTCAGCCGCAACAACAGTGCTAACAAAACCTTCAATGACAGATGAGTTTAGTGAGGTCAAACAGAGAATGCTAAAGCTTAAAAAACAAACAGACCATCTGTTTCTGAGTAGTCACAGTTTGGATGTGTTCTTGGCTATATTGTGCAATAAATTTTGAACTGCAGGAGAACTTAGTTATCACCTGAACTAACATCAGCATCTGCAGCCTGGCATGGATGTATATCTTATTTGTTTGGTAATATCTAACATTTAATGGCCCCCCTTTGTGTGTACACAACTGATCTATATACAATTAAAAAAAATAGATGTCATACTTATAACTGAATCAAATCGACAAAACAGATTTGTTCAAATATGTGAGTTGGTGATGCTTTTCCAAACCAAGGTGATTGCTTGTGTCTCAAGGTAAGCTACATTACATGGCAGAAGACTGTAGCCTAGCTTGCACCCTGTTTCTACTAACAGGCAGAACTGACTGTCATCAACCTCACCGCAAAAGTACTGAAATATCCCTTTAAGTCATCCCGATAAGTACATAATGACAAAAATAATATAATATAGAAATTAAACCTATTTGATAATATCTTTCACACAGTTTAAGATGTAACCTAACCCTAACCCTTTTCTTCTGATCAGCAGAAATTCATACATATCCAAACATGACCAAAGGATAATGAATATGTAAATCAATGCATTGAACATACACACACTCTTTTTCACAGCACCTGTTGTTAATTTTCATCTTTGGTGTAATTCCTTTGTTATGCATTATAATGTTTAAGCATACAGTTTCTTGATATTAAGATTCCCCTCAAATTGTAACTTTTTCTCCTCCTCTTAAAAAGATCTACTGTTGTTGAGACAGACCTCTAGTTCAGCTGTCTTTATGTATAACAAACACATGCTTCATGGCTTCCTTGGATTTTATCTTTGACTCTTATTTCACAATTCCTCTAAGACCTGTTTCTATCTGTTACCATTTAGGGCTAAAATGAAACGTCTTCGGCAGGAGAGGTTTAGTAATTCATGGTTGAATTCAAGGTCATAGGGATGAAAGTTTAATGGTGTTTTGAACGCAGTTTTGGACCTAACAGATATCATCCTGCTCTCTTTTGACAGCCAGAACTGTATCTGCATAAAAAATACCAAAAAAAGAGAGGAAAGTTTACAAGAGAAAGAGTTCCAGTTTTGACATGTAATCATTTAGATGTTTTTCTGCAGCAGATGAAGTTATGAGGATATCCCAAACGGAAAGTCCCTTTGTAAATGATTTTCTAACACATTCTAACTTGAGTTGTTGTTGGCCTCACTTGGAGCCAAATGTTGATCCTAAGATGAGCGTATCATTACAATTTGAAGCCATAATGACATTTTAATGATTGCCACATGTTTTACAACAACTCTGTCTCACCCTTTCTCCCGGAGAGATCAGGGACTTTCACATCTGCAGACAAAATCTGTGGTTTTCACAGTGTTTAAGAGCAAAAGGCTTCACATGTATTCTGTCTTTGTTGTGAAACACTGGCAGAATGAATCACATTTTTGTTTAGAGCCAGAAGACTGTCTCTAATATCAGATGCATGCATTTTTAAACACATTTATCCTTATAGAAAGGGTTTACTCAATGCTTTTAAGTCTTAATCGTCCTCCAATCACTCCTCTGACCTTCCCCCTCAGGCTGCATGTTGCAAACCTGATCAGCTCTGCAGGTATACAAACACGTTATTTCATCAGACCGTCTGTCTTCTGCTGTGAAACTCCTCCATAAAGCCCCCCTGCTGGGCTGAACCCCTCTCACCAGTCCTCTCGTAACATGATGACTTTCACCCAGAGCACATTAGTCTTAATTAGACTAAAGTGTTTTCTCTCAGTGCTGCATCCTCCCCTCCTCTAGTCCCCCCTCTCTGTCCTCTCCTTGTTTCCTCCTCCGTCCTTCCTGTAGAGCTTCATAATATTCAAAGACTCAGCTGTCTGCTCTCACGGGAGGTGCATTCAGTTTACATTCATTAATTCAGAACTGTAGGCAATAGAAAACAGATTTTTGGTATACAAACATGGCGATGACTCCAATGAATGTAAATCACAGGCTTCACTCGCAGTTTGTTTAAAATCTGCTGCAGAGCTCAACACTCTTTCCAAGACCAAGCACAGCAAACATTCAGGCTTGTGCATCAATTTTATTTCACCCCTGAAAAAACTGACCTACAGTAGTGTGATATAAAACTCCTCTATGCAGAAAAAGAAGTTTTAAAAAGCAGAGGTCCTAAAACTACCAAAGAGGATTAGGGCCACAAGGAGAGAAAACAATAATTACAGGAGGGAGATTTGTTAATTTCCATTTAAAGATTAAAGTCGAAATTTCAAGATTAGAGTTGAAATTTAAAAAAGTCAAAATTTCGACTTAATTCATGTCGACTTTAATCTCGAAACTTCGACTTGAATCTCAAAATTTTACTTTTTTAATATTGAAATTTCATGAATAATGTCAAAATTTGGAGATTTAAAAAAAATAATTTTGAGATTAAAGTCGAAACTCCGGGATTAAAATCGACATGAATAATTTGAAATTTTGACTTTTTTAAATATCAACTTTAATCTTGAAATTTCGACTTTAATTTCAAAATTTCAATTTTAGACTCAAAATTTTGACTTTAATCCTCTTCCTGTAATATTTTTTTCCTCTTCTCATGTGGCCCTAATCCTCTTTCATAAAAAAACCTTTACCGCCATGCACCTTTTTCTAAAGCTGAAAAAAACAATCTTTCTTTGGTGTTTAACAGGCGTATCCCTAGACTGTTTTAAAATAAATATGACCCTGATTTTTTCTTAAATGATCTTTTGAGAGATAAACATGCTGCAAATTAAGAAACACTGACATGAACTCCGAAAGTGCTGTACATACACAACTAATACAAAGCAAAGATGCACATAAGCACACAGAAGCTGCAAAAAAATAAATAAATAAAATGTGGAATTAGCTAGCCATAACGATAGCTGACTCTGGTATGAGGTTCAAAACATGGGGACATTGGCGACAGAGTTCTGCTAGTCATTAGCTGTTAGTGTTAGCTTTATGCATCCTGTCACCCCTTCCTGATAGTCCATTTACCAGTGCTGTGATTTCAACATTTAAATATCAAAAGCTGTGCTATTTTTACATTGGCGGCGTGTTTCACTTAAAGATTGGTTGGACCATTATCGATTGTTGGTCCTCGTCAGTCCTAGTCACTACAGCGCAAGAAACGAAATGGACAACCTGATCACACATATTACAGATATCATATCAGTATGCTTAAAGGTGTAAAGCACATTTCACCTTTTACCTGTTGACACTGTGGCAAAACCGTAACTGTCTGTCTTTAGCTGGTCTTGAGTATGGGCGAATAATGACAATTAGCCTGAAGAGCTATTGGACCCTAACCATCACTGAGGGAAAAGTGGAGCAACATCCTGTCCAGCAATCCGTGCTCCAGCAGCAGAGCTGGAGAGAGTGATAATAACAACTAGGGCTACACAAAAACCAATACTTTGTAGAATTAATGTAAGTCCATCACAGTGGTCCTTCGTGCTAATATGAGCACTGATGAAAAAGAAGCAACTGCAAGTGAGCTAGCACTAATGGTCGTCTGAGAGATGACTCAGCGCTTTGATAAACTGATATTCAAAGAGTTGTAGTCAATCTAAATCTACTGTTAGAGCTTGTGCTTCTTTGGGTTATTAATTAATTAAACATTCATACTTCATAACAGTTCTTTTAACTATTTTCTTTCAGTTTTGAAATGCATAATCTCACAGAAGTAGTTTAATTTAAAAGACTTAAGAGACAGTTAAACACCAAATACATACTGTTTGCTTCTTTTTAGGCATGCTTATTGTAAGCCATTAAAAATATATCCCCTTTAACCCTGCAGACACATTTTGAATCAGATACACACCATCATCAGCAGCTTGTTTTAGGAGTCCGACCTGTTCCTTTTTGTCCACATGTTCAAACATTTTTTACCCTCTACTTCGAGTTAATCATCTCAAATCTGAACCGGCCTCAGACAGAGTCTCATTTGTTTAGTTTCTGTTGGTCTGGAATTTGTCTCAGATTTATAAATACCTGTAAATAAACACTGACGTAATAATAAGTAGGGAGATATAACCAGAGGTGATGTTATCCTTTTCATTCTAGTAAAAAACAATAAATCTCATTATCTGCGTCTGTTTTTGAAACATGAATACCTTTGTTCCAGTACAGCGTCGTGTCCCACCGCCAGCTTCCTTCCTGTCCCTGACCTTAGGGGTCGAGGTAGCAAAATGAGCACACTATCCAGTTTCTCCTCGTTCCTCTGACCTGTCAGTGTGCTGCAAGCAAAACATCACAATCTCAGAGCTGCTCTGCTCCTGCAGCTCCTCTATGACCCTCTGAGTGTACGCTTTTCCACTCGTGAACGTTCAGGGACGAAGAGCGGACTCGTGTGACAGTGACTTATGAAGAGGGGGAAACAGAGCGGCTGCAGAAATCTCAGATTCTGATCTGCATGAATACAAACCTCAGCGTTTACCATAGTCTCTGCTGTAAAATAGTCATATATCAATATGTCATAGACTGATGTACTGTACTACACATCTTTATCATGCTTGCTGTCTTGTACTGTTGGTGTATCCAGTAACCTGCTGGAAGTAACTACTGCGTAACTTTGCTGAGTTTGATGCAGGATTTTAAAATGATCGTCTCAGATTTTGTCTGAAACACATCGAATAGGTTTATCGTGGTTTATCACCTGGTGCTGCCCATCGTGGAGCACGGATTTGGCAGATTTGTTGGGCCCTGTTCTTGCTGCCTGTTCATTCTTCCTCATTTTCTGACCTCCACCAGTCCAACACTCGATGCATGACCTGTCCCCTGACTGACCGTGCCACAGAACCCACTCTGTCTTCCACATGCATCCATGACAATCCCCCACTAGTCCCCCCAGAATAAAAGCACAGTAGCAGTGCTTGCAGGAAGGAAACACAAACTCTTGCAGTATGGCACAAACACTTGTAATTTTGATATTCATGTTATTTGTCATAATATTGCCATGATGTTTGACTCCTCAAATCTATGACTTACTGTCTCATTTTTATAAATTACTGTCTCATCACTATGACTGATTTTGCAATCATTTATACATTTTATCTTAGAATATTAGACTTTTATGTCAGTTTTGTCGTTTTTTTCTTATAAATTTGAACTTTCTCATATTTTTGATTTTATTGATCATAATTATGACAAACTATCCCACACCCATAATTCTGACTTCTTTTCAATACTTGTGATCTTTTTTGTTCGGTCTGTTCCATTTATAAAAACTGGTATGAAAGCGCTCTTGTAAGGTAATGACTGAACCCCTGTTTACATGCAGAGGAAATCACAGAGAAAAAACTATGTCTTCAAAGATCTCCACAGACACATGGACAGTGCTTTAGTTTTGCAGACCACAGTGCTGCTGGGTTGTGGAGTTCGGTGAACCTCATTATCGTTGCCTGGAGAGAAAAGCCTGAAAGTGGACTGTAAATGAGCCCGGGTCAATAAAGTCTTTATTTGTCTGTGTAGAGGCTGTCAGCAGCTCCTCTTTGCTGTTTTCCTGAAAGTCACTTTTGATTTAACATATAATCTATTTCACCACGCAGCGCTGAATGCAGAGCAAAGGAGCTTATACCCTAACTGGAAAGAAAACCATCTGCCATGGAAAAGCATGCAGGAAATCTATTTAAAAAGTCTGTGCACGCAGTCAGGGGTTAAGATTAGATCTGGCACCGCTTTTTATTACCTGCTACTGTTACTGTCTTTACCACAAAAAGTCATTGAGACTCAAAGTCCTTAAGAGTTATATTTACATTTGCTTTCTTTCTAAGTCTGTAACTTTGAGTGCCTGTTTATGTTGTGGTCTTTGGAGGGTCATATTCTGTATGTACAACAGTGGAAAACACACTGCAGTGGTTAAAAATATGGGAGAAATGAAAAGAATCCATAAATGATTAAAATAAAATACATGCTGCAGAGAGGCAGAACCAATGGGTTAAATTTACGTATAATTCTTGAAAAATGCAATAATCAAAACACAATCTAGGAAAAACTCTGAAGACCTATGTTTTAGGGGACACTCAACTGATCATGTGATGGAGGTGGGTTATATAAAGAAAGCTTAATCCTGCAAACTGTATGTTAAGATAGACCTCAAAAGAGTTCTCTGACTTGAAACCAACATTTTTACAGCTCACTCTGCTGACTGGCTGCAGTATAGGTCAAATAACTTGCCTGTTAATCTGTCAAGGTAGCTAATGAGGTCAAACTATAACATTAAAATGCATGTCAAATACATTTTTCACAGACATGATTTCTTCTTTAATTAGAGTAAGTTCTCATCGGGTACATTTATTTTCAAGTTTTTAACAAATTTAGTTTGTATCAGATATTCAGTGTTTTAAAAATGATTGATTGACAGCTCTGTTGATGAATGGGGTTCCTGCAGCAGACACTGACATTGACACTTTTTTCAGCTGTTTTCATTCATTTTCATTATTTAGGATCTAGTAGAGGTACCTTATACTTCAAAATAAAAGCATGGTTTTCCCTTTTTTTTATATACATGGTTTTAAAATTAACTTAAAAGTATGTAATCAAATAATTTATCAAATCAAATAATTTTATAATTTATATGATTTATCATCAGCCCTGTGACCAAAATGTCTTGAGAAGACACTGCCTCTTAAAGCTTTTGTTTACCATGCTTTCATTTGGATATTTTTCCTATCTTGCTTTTAGGTTGTTTTTTATCTATTGCATTCTGCAAACTATGCTTTTATTTTGAAGTTTACTACTTCTGGTAGATAGTTAAGTTCAAGAATTGAAAGAACATGTTGAGAAAATGAAATGATTCTGTAATCTGAAGCGGCAAAAGCTTTAATTTTGCTTTTGGATTCACAGTGAAACTTGAACATCAATCATTCCTCAAAGGGCTGAGGCAACTAGAGACTAGCAGACTGCTACTTCTTATTCATCTGTCCCTGATTTTATGACGTGTGGCAACCAGTATAAGAAATCAATTGTATTACTGTATGCTTGTTTTGTTTTTTTTGTTTTTTTTGTTTTTTTTTTTGTTTTTTAAGTAAAATATTAATATTTTATCCATGAAAAAGATGGTCATTGGCAACACTGGTATATTGCAACAGCACTGTGAACATATACATGTCAAGTTGGGAGCAGAACAATGTTTACATTGTGAAACCAGATCAGTTGGAGAGGAGGAAGCAATGGTGCTCATGCCCTTAAAACTACTTTTTAAAATGCCTGACAGACATTAGTAAAAAAAAAAAAAGAAAAAGTTACGTTTGAGCTCTAAACTCAGCATCATGTTGAACCAGTCCCTGTTCGGGCTGAAAGTTTAAACTTGAGGGAAAGAGGCTGACAGTTTCCTTAGAGATGCGTACTCACGTCTGGAATGTCTCTGTGTGCAGACTCTCTCTACATCCCACTGAGCTGAGGATCCCTGTGGTAGAGAAACCACCCAGCCTCTCAGCAGCCCTGTAGACCAGCACAGTTTAACTCTGTGCCCGGCTCTTTTTTTGGCAGAGTATAAAAGTGCAGGCTGTGCTGCACAGATCATCTCATACTGCCAACAAGGGTTGTGGCCTGCATGCTGAAGGAGGGCAGTAGCAGCGGTGGAAGTACAGTTACAGCGTTCACTGTAAATTAAACATCACAGTCACTTTTATCTGCTCTCTGTAGCTGCAGGAGTGTGGGAGCTGAGCTGCACAGGCCTTTGTGGGCTAGTGTGAAAGGAAGGCAGCTGAAGTCAAGGAGGTGCAACTCATGCTGAGATGTGAAGAGGACTTAGCTGCTGATGAAGAATTGGGGCTTATTCTGGAGGGGGTTTAGGAAAAGGGAGGGTGGGCAGATGAATAAATAAACTGTTTGTATTTTTTCTATTTCTCAAAGACAGAGGACCACTGTTCGTCTTTAACCCCTCCTGTTGAAAACTTAATGAAAAGCAGATTTCAGAACAGGAGCTGTCATTTCCTCCTCATCTCAAAATCATCAGCTGCCACTTTCAGGTTTTTGTCTACACTTTGTATCTATCTCTCACCTCAGCCGGATCAAAAGAGGGTCTGGCTCCAGACATCCTGATAATAAGGAGAAAATGAGAAGAGCGGAAACGGTGAAAGGAAATATCCCTTCAAATGTGCCCCCTTCTTCTGTCCTCAGCCCCCACTGCCTCCTCTCTGTCCCCACTCCAACCTCTCAACCTCTTTTCCCAGCCTGCACACCATGCCGGGCCTCCATGGAGAGCAGGAAGCTGGACCAGGAACTGTGGGTCTGCTGTCTGCGGGCCAAGGCGAGCTGGTGTGAGATTTCTGCCCAGGAGAAGGTGGCCGCTTCCCAACTATGAGGCAGAGTCAAAGTGACAGCCATGTTCAAGAGACCCAGGGGACGCTGCGTAGTCTGAAAACCTGAGTGTTGGGGGGCACATTGTGAAATTCTGGACCCTGTGGATGGGTATAAAAACACACATTGTGCTCACCGGTCTCTTCATGCAGGGGTAATTAAAGAAATCTCTATCTGGCTCACAGAGAGCCTGGGAAAGATCTGCCAGGGGTCTCAGTGAACCACAATCCAGACTAGTTGGACTAGGGTCCAAGCTGTGTCATTGAGCAAAAATCACCAAACCTATACCTTTTATTCGTTCCTCTTGTCATAATTTTATTACCTCCGCCAAGGAGGTTATGTTTTCGGTAGCGTTGGTTTGTTTGTTTGTTTGTTTGTCTGTTAGCAACTTTACGGAGAAAGTAACAGACGGATTGACCTGAAATTTTCACCAGAGGTGCGTCTCAGCCCCAGGAGGATCCCATTACATTTTGGTGGTGATCCGGACAAAATTCTGGATACTGTGATCCAGAACACACAAAAATAAGGGTGTCATTGGAATTTTCAATGCTGAAAGATAACCAATGGGCGGCACAGTGGTGTAGACAGGCGGTACAGTGGTGTAGTGGTTAGCACATTATGAACAGTGAACATACCAGTTTAAACACAAATAAACGTTCATAAAAGACACATAACAGTAAAAGTTTTGGTGTGAATCACAATATAAGGGGGGACATGAGCTGCTTGGCGGAGGTCTGCGCTCTCCGAGTGCTTTTCTAGTTATTATTTTTACCATTACTATGACAGTTTATGACTTGAGATGTGACTTATTTCAGTGGCTGGTACTTTGCTAACTTGCATACTACAGGGGTTTAAAAATACAGTTCAGAAACAGCTGCAGCAAGACATTGACCTCAGTGAGCAGGAACTCTTTTAACACTGAATCTCCACATTCTTTAAAAAAAAAAAAGGAAATTCAACTTTTCACAGATACATCACCTTTTATCCAAACATTTATAACGAAAACTTTTTTTGACCCATGACTCCATTTCTATTCAGTACATACATATGCATAAAGCTTAAAAAGCGTGTTGCATGCTTCGTTATTGATAGTCAAAATTTTAACTTGCACTTTATCCAGGAATTTCCTTTCTATCCTTGGTAAATATGCATGAGAAGCCAGGGTGGGTTGATGCAGGAACACAGCAGGAAATATTCATAACAAAGGAGAGAGTGGATATGATGATGTTAATATAATGTGACCAGAGGAATGATACTTCAGTGAAAAAATAAAAACACCAGAGGTTAAAGGAGGAGAATCATTTTTAAGATGAGAAAGGTGAAGATGTCTGCATGCTTGCCTGCTCTTCTTGTGCCTTCAATGCCATCTCCTACCTCCACATTTCCAGTTCTCCCCCTCCACCATCTTGTATGAGCCATATGTGATCAGGCGACACTCCTTTGCCCTGTCAGTGTACAATGAACTGCATGTTTCATGATTGTCACTGCTGCATTTTCTGTAGTCTAGGCCACAGAAGTGCACATTTAGTTTAAAGGAGGGTGTCTATTTCTGTCCAAAACCCAGCTGTCTGAACCAGTTTGATCTGAAAATGAGAAACTTGTGACAGTCTCTGTGTCAGTCTGATTAGCGGTGAACGAACAAAGACGTTTTCTTTCCTGTGATTTACTAAAAGAGGACTTTCGCGGGCTCAAAAACAGACCGCTAAATGGAGCAGCTTCTGGTCACTCTGGTTTTATTTCGCTGAAAACACTCGGTTTGGTCGAATTCTTGTGGCTGAGAAGAGGCTTGTTCTGAAAAAGTGAACCTCTCTCTTTTGTCTGAGTGTGTCAGACATGAGTTATGTTGGAGGAATACAGGATTTAACATCCTCCTCTATGTTCTCACCCTGAACGCTCTCTGAGAATGTTTTTAACCACATCAGCACTGAAGAATGTCCCAAACATTAGTCATAATACGCTCAGAGATTAGTGTTGAAGTGCTGTGGAGAGCTGCTCTGTGTGTTCGGTCCATGAAACATGTTTTGGATTGAAGTAAACAGTAAATAAAAGCTCTGCGGGACCATTTAGGTGGTCTAGAAAAACTGTCAGATGTTTATTTATGACATGTGGATGATTATAAATGATCCAACATCAAATTCAGACCAGACTTCTTTTTTTTTTAGTTAGACCTTAACTGTTGATGGTAACTTTTTAGAAACCGTCAACAAACCTTTGACTCACGTGCAATTTTGTATATTTACGTGTCTTTAATATTACAATACTACATCACTTGACTCAAGGTATAAAAATAAATGTTTTTTGTTCACTGTCCCCCTCATGGGGTACTGACTCATTGAGTCACTCATCCACCCTTTCAGGCAGAGCACCATGGCCTCGGACTTAGGTGTACTTTGGATTTGGGTGCAGACCACTCCTATGAAACACATGGGAGGAAGATCATCAGGAGGGTCAAATCCTTTCCTCTTGAATGATTTAGCTGCTGTCATAAAGTTTGGAGTCTCTAAGGATGGTGATATTTGGTCTAAAGATATCTCGGTCAGTCCAACTCTGTGGAATCAATGGATCATGTGACCCCTCTTTCAGTCTGATAAGCATATTGATCATCTTGATCCACGTTTCGCTTGAAGAATCACCGGGCAGCATCTTTAAGTCTAGAGCATGACTGTAGACTCATTTAAATCTTATTGTTCTACCATCACTAGACCATTAAAATGTAGTTATCCTCCTCTGAATATACAGTGCTCCACATAAATGAGTACACCCCTTCAGAGTTGTCAGAAATCGTTCAGTTTCCTCTCAAAATCAACATTTCCTATGTGAGACTATCCAACAAAATACTCCCCAAAATGTAGACCAGTGATTGCAAACAAGATTTTTAGGTTGCATACAAAAAAGTTTTGTTTTTCTTTTCAATTTAAAATCAGGATGCAAAAACCTAAATTTTAGTAACCCTATCACCCTTATTTTCATCTTATGGTAAATAGAGTGCAGCTTTGTCAAAACTTTGGAAATTGTACTTTTGCTCATCTAGATATTGAGTAATACATTACTTTTAATAGGGGGTGTACTGACTTATGCTGGGCACTGTACATTATGGCACAGACGGTTATCCTACCTACAGGGGATCACCCCCAACATCTTTACATTCAGAAACTGTATTTTTCCTTACAGTTGGAGTGTGATACTGGATCCATAACCGAGACATGCTTTGTTAAAGAGAGTCTGAATATGCTGAGTGTTTTCCTGCACCTCCCTGTGTGTTTCTGTGTTTTTAGGAGCCGTGGGAGCAGGTGTGAACAGCACAAGTGAACAAAACAAACTGGTTTGTTTTATTGCTATTAATAATTGATTATTATTGAATTATTTATTTTCTGCTCTTGTTTTTTTATGTTTTTGTTAAAAACAGAAGGGCTTTGTGGTTTGTCTTTCCCTCAGACTGTCCTGTCTCTTACATCCTCCAATAAATAACTGATCGAATCAGCGTCCTTAGAGGACTGACACCTGCTCCCTCGCCCTCCCTGAGGCCTCGCTTACCAGTGAGCTGTAATCGTTCCTGACTGGACAATATTTCTGAGAAGCGCAAAAGAAGGGGGGTGAGGTGTCCTGGTTACACAGATATTAAAGGAATCTGTCTTCATCTGAATCCTCTGGGAGTTTTTTCATCATCCTCCAGAAGGACAGCCGGTCTGTGAGCTTGTCCTCCCGCAGAATATTGAAGGATAAGATCCCCGACACTCTCATAAAGCTGAGGAAGAGACAATCCAGTTATTTGTTTGGATTATTAGACTTTTCCCAGAACAGTTTCTACAACTGTGTGATATGTGCTGACAGAGGCGGCTGAAACTCTCCAAACTTGGTGTTTTCATGGATCAAATGAGAAAAACTTTCCGACACAGAGTCTGAAAGTTTTGAAAGAACAGAAAAGGGAGGTTTTCAGCTCCGTTTTGGGAATAATTCAACAACTACAGTGATTATCTTTGCCCAATGCAACAACTGCTGTAGCTCTATCACTCAAGAGGATGAACAAATCCATAATTTAGAGCTCTCTGCACTCATCTGCCAGCGACACAACAACTCTACATCTATCCCATACTGTACACATGTTTAATTCAGCTATTAAAAACAACAAGAGTGACATCAAATGGTTCTAAAGCAAATGGGGAGAGAGAGAGAGAGAGACAGAAGAACCTGATTAAAATCAGCCCAGACTGATGGATTGGTGCAGATGCAGACTGGGATTAGGTCTTTGGACGCGGACTGTCGTGTTGCAGCCTTCAGCTTCTGTCTGAGTGTTTCTCATGTTTCAAAGCTCCTTACTTATCGAGTGTGATGTCCAGAGACAACCACAGGCATCATCATCATGGCTTCAGACCAGCTTATTTCATTCAACAGTCAGGATTAGGGGTCTGCCGGGGACTGAAAACAAAAGTCAGACTGCTACTTAAAGGGATAGTCCTGTTTTTTAAACAGGATCCCATAAATAGTAGGAAATCTTTGTCAGCTGGACGTCTTTATTGAGACACCCTGAGAGGAACCTGTATGAGAGCGAGGCGATCAATCACTGCTGTCAGGGTCGACTCTGGAGCATGTTTTAGCCACTATAGACAAACTGCAACCGAAACACAACTTACTGTGCAGCTGCATTATTTGCAATTCATTTTTAAACGCATTATTTGAATTGATTTTATGAATGCATTGAAAAACACTTGGCTTTTTTCATTATTGCGTATTCAAAATGGGGATTTAATTACAATGAGTATACACATGATTAAGATTTTTTTTAATTTTCTAAGCTTGATTCTGCTGTTAGAGTGCCCTTTAGTTTTTGTCCTACAGGAGTGACACATGTTCTCCCAGCGGCAGCCAATAAAGTCTACAATGTACAAGTCACTGAAAAATGTTAATGTTCATATGCTGCAGATTTAAATGGAGGGGATTTCAAAGTAGTGTTGTGTTGTTTGCGAATGATTCATACAAAAGAACTGAATCTTTTCAGTGAACGTACTGAACCGAATCACTTCCTCAAGTGATTCGTTCATTTCTCACTAAAGTTGAGCCAGGCATGCAGCCGGTGAGCAAGGGACCACATGCGCCAACGCCTGAATCACTTGGTGAACGAATCACGCAGTGAGCTATACTCTCTGAAATCATTTTTGTCTGAGAGATACACTTTCATGGTGACCGTTGCTCCCCGTTGTTTTAACACATTTAGTTCCCTAAAACAAAACAAACTTAAAAACTGTAAAGCTGGCAGTGATGAAAAGAGTGACGGAGGGAGACTATAATCTGAACTGAATCCTGAACTGTTTAGCTGTGTATTAGTTCAGGAAGTCGGAGTCGCAGGCTCCTCTCACCAAGCGCTGTGTGATTCATTGATTCGGTGAATGAATCTTTAGAATGAATCTTTTTATGAAACTGATTCTAGTGATTCAGTACATCTTAAAGAACTGCCACGCCCATCACTATTTCAAAGTTATGAAAATATAATTTCTGAAAGTTTAGGTTGTACAGGGTCAAAGATTAAAAAAATAATAACAATAAATAAATAAAAAAAACTTAATCACAACACTGCTCTTAATACCATCACCATCCTTGAGTTTTCCTGCTAAACAGATTGTTGTGTGTTCTCCCTGTCTGTCTGTCTATAAAGTTCACAGTCATAGAACCTCCTGTATACGTCTATAAACAAATGCTGAAAGTCCTGGCTCTCAGAGTCGGAGCTGTGTTTAAGGAGGAGGTGATAAAGTTTAGTTAAGAGCTGCCATTATCACAGAGGGAGGCCTTGGCTGACCTTTAGAGTGAAACAGGGAGTTTTATTTTCACATTTATTTGACTTTCACAGGGTCGTGGATCAGGGTGGAGATTACAACTCTGTAATGTGGAGGATAAAACATCATTTATCAAACTTAACTGATTTTTTTCTGCCTGCTTTCTTGTATTTTTCCCCTTTAAAAGCCTGTTTTTTGTGCTTTATACCACAGAGGTCTGCTGTGTTGTTCAGTGCCAAATGAGATTCACATTGATCTAAACATGAGTCTAATTAAACGCTCATTTTAAAAGATTGAACAGGCTGCATAACTCAACGTCTTTGTAGGACCCTTGTTGGTATTTCTCCTATAAATTCTGACATTATTATGCTCATATTTCCTGAGCTGCACCAGGCACATCCTGGTAAAATACTCTCTTACTTCTTAAATGTTTAATTTAACTTAACTGAAAAAGGCACCCTCCCAACCTCCCACAGACTCTGCACGAGGAAACTGAAAGCAGAGCCAGAGAGTGTTTTTTATCCACCGTGGACTGCTGTTTGGAAACTTTCCAGAAGACGAACACTGAGCAGAGCAGGAGTACAAAAAAGGATTTGATTAAAGATATAAATACCCAGCATCATCAAAAGAACTTTACAGGTTTACTCAATGCCTCATAGCCCCAGAGCCTTATCTTTCTGATTTTAATTTTAGAAAAACCTGTTTGCATACATTTAAAAATCGCTCTACAAACAATGCCAAAGGTGCTGCACACGCATCCACATACAGAAATATTAAAAGTTCAGGATAAATTCATAGAAGTTATCATGCATTACTTCTTAGTGCCTGCGATGGCTTCACATTGCCTATCAACGTCTTCAAACTCACCCTCAGTTTGGAGTCGGCATCAGGTCATGGAAAAGGAGGAGAACGGTTTTATGTTCAGTTTTATCTTATCTGTACAACATCAGGAAATAAAGGTGACCTCTGAGTGGTTTAACTTTGAGCTTTTTATGATCAGATGAGATCAAGTCTGGTGGGTGCAGGATTGAAGTGTCCAAGAAGTAATAAAAGACGAGAAAAACAATGGTTATAGTAATCTCCTAATAGCAGGAATCTGTTAAATAAATAAGCCCCAAACTGCACTTCTTAGCAAACTTTGATTTGCATTTAGTTTTTTTAGTCCCAAAACAACAATCCTGTAAATACTTATTGCACAAGCACTGTCATTCATTCATTCATTCGTTCATTGATAACCCAATTTACCAAGAGGTGGCAGGTTAATACCTCCTCTCTGAAGCAATAGCCCAAACTCTGGAGTTTTGATTGCTTGAATTGTTCTTTTCTTTTCCGTTTTACAGAGAGAACCAACACCCAGAAATGTTGTCTGTTGGTTAGCAGTACTTTCTGTGGTGGTTGTACGACTGTCCAGATGCCACAGAGTTAGTAGACTGATACTGTTGTGTGAAGGAAAGGTGGTTACTGAACCCAACTTTTTTGGAATGCATCAGTTTCAAAATAAGATAAGATCTGCAAGAAAAAAAATCAAGTTTATCAATTTAAACAATAAATATCTCATCTTTGTAGTGTATTTAGTTGAATAAAGGTGGAAAAGGATTTGCGAATCATTGTATTCTGTTTCTATTCATGTTTTCAACAACATACCAAGTTTATTGGAATTGGGTTATACCAAAAAGAAAGACAGAAAACTAGGTCCCATGGTGTCTACCATTTCTAAAAATGTCATCCACTACATCTCATCATCAAATAACTGAGCTCTGAGCTTAGAAAATTACAATACTTCTCTGTATCCACCATTATCGAGGGGTGTTCATATATGGTCCCCTCTCACAGTGGACACATCCTTATTGAAGGCACCACAAGTCTTCAGTCTTTGTGTAAACCATAAAGATTATTTCATCTTGACACTATGGGCTCTATTTTGGTGCCTCGCCGAAGACGTGCCGCAAGCGCAGCGTCAATCAGATCCGCCGCGCTGACAAGGCGTTCCCAAGCACATTTTGGTATTTTGGTGAGCCGCGAAGCCCGGCGTAAGTATCCCCCCTCCCTAACTCAGCTCCTCCCGGCAGCATAAATCATAGACGGGGAGGAGAGAGGGCGTATAAGAGGTTTAACACAGCCGAGACCTGTTTTCACCAATCACATAAGCTCCTCTCCTTGCCTTTAAATCCGCCACCGGCGAGGCGTAATACTATTTTCATGATGTAGTCAAAGAGATCAAGAGATGTCTGAAGACAGTTATGCCACACGATGGCGACAGAGGGCAGCTGTTCAACAAGTGTCCTCCACACTCTCTCATCTGAGCACAGATAGATTTGGTGTGCGTAATGTTGGACCCACTGGTAAGACAAACACCCTTTTCCACAAAAAAGACACTCACATAAAGTTGCATATATTCAAACCTCACGTGACAAAGGTGGGTTTAGCGCACAGATCACAACATAAACTCCAAAAATGGCATTAAAATCGGAACCATCTGTGCGTAAATGACGCATCGCGCTCCGTGGCCTGGCTCTTTCTTTCATAGATGTTGGCATATAAAATAAATTTGGCTCACAAAACTGAATATTATAATATCCGTATGTCGGCTTAAAGTAGATCACGCATCTGAGCACTGAAACAAATCATCTGTTCAGCCGCAGCAGCTGCAGCAAGACGGACAGAGGACACGGAGACGTGTCCAGGTTGAGCTGTGCGAGAAATAAGAGGAAGAAAGAAAAGGAGGGAGACACATTACATATCTTGTTAACTTCATCATGTGTGTCTATTTACTAGATATTTAATTTAATTTGATGCAGTTTCAGCTGTATTGATTCGGTCAGGTTGTGTGCCCAAACGCGTGCCAAACGCGTGCCAAACGCGCTCATCAGATCAGATATAGATCAGAATATATCGATATAGATCTAAATGTATGTGCTGACTCACATTAATAGTTGATAATGATTATTTATTGCACTGAAATCTGCCTGACACTGTGGAAACCTGCCGGTGAGGCATCGGTGACGTGTGTCGATGCGCCGCCGGTCTACCAAAATACTACTAGACCAGCTGCGTTCCGCCTTGCGCTGAAAGCTGACCAGGTTTGAATCGGCGAGCTTTCAGCGCACGTTACACGCCGGTGGCGAGCACGAAAATGTCACTGCGCCAGCTGATTCTGTCAACACCTCCCCCTGCCACGCCACCACGCCCAGCTTGGCGGATCTCGGCTCGCCTCCGTGCGACTCAGTCCACGAAAATACCAAACTCGCCTTACGCCGGGCTCCGCCAGACGAAAATACAACTGCGCGGGGCTCGCCGCCCTCCGCCGCCTCACCGGCGCGAACGAAAATAGAGCCCTATATGATTGTTGTACATGACGATCCTCTTTGACATTCCTGCAGGTAAAAATGCTGCACTTTCCGGTGTAGCTGTGGATAACTTAGACTGATTAATTAAAGTCAAAATAAATGGGCAAAGTTTTTTTTTGTTTTTTTTTTATCATAGTTGTATTTCACATTTATATTGAACAAATCAATGTGGATCTATTACTGTCTCAAAAAGCTACCTGACAAAAGTAGAAAATTTGATTGTCTTGACCCGTGCAATAAGGTAACTGCCTGGACATTTACTTTGTTTGGCATCGTTCATTAACCTGACTTAAATCCTAACCCTGTGAGGGACCAGAATAAACTCTGCAAAGACTCTGTGCTCTCCTCTCTGCATTTACACACTCACTTATTTAATGGCTTAGAGAACATCCTGTCATGTGCATTAAAATGCCTCATGTCTCTAAGAGACAACATTCAATATTTATGCAGAGTGCGGGTACATGATTCACCTTTTCAGACTTTATGTAAACATGTTCTGAGCTGTGTGTGCTCTCTGCATTAACATGCTTCAGAAAATTCAAATAACTCCTCCGGGGGGCTGCTGCTCTTCTATAGCGGTTTCCCCAGCAACAGCCTGGCCTTTCTCTGTTTTTTTGTATGTAAATGTGGCAATAAGCGGCTGCATGTACGTGTATTTAAAGAGCAGAGGGGCTGCAGCTGCAGGGAAGAGCCGACACCGAGGTGCAATTACTCTGCAGGAGCTGCAGAGCTGAGACCTCTGGATGTTTGATCAGACTTCAAACAGCTTCCAGTTAAAAGTTGTGAAATAAAGATTTCCTGGATTTCTCTCCCACTTGATGGATGTAAGGAGGCAGAAATGAATGCACAGGTGTTTTTGTGAAGTTGCCTCCATCTCGCTCTGCAACCATTACATGTCTCACTAAAATCTCTGCTTCTCTTTCCAGCTTTGCTTTTAGTGCCAGTCATCCAAGAATAGTTCCTCGCTCTTTCCTTAATGTCACAGCTGTAGCTGATTTC